GGATTTTTTTTTTTTTAATCTAGGAAATAATTTGTCTTCTAGTCCTTTTGTACTTAAAGTGATTTCACATAATTCCACCACGGTCCTTTCATCTCTTTGCAAAATCTGGGATGGCTCCTATCTGGCTCTGGAATACTGTCTTCAGACGTCCTCATTAATTGATTCCTTACTCTGGCACAGCCTAGGAAATGATACTATTTTCCTCTCCCTGGGGAAATATGCGTGCATCTGTCCCGTCTTCCTTTGTGCTTACCCAGGCAGAGAATCCCTTAAATTCTCTGTTCTATAGCAAGGTCTGCTTATTGCTCTGCTCTTGGTGTTTGGTGGAAGTCTGGCTGTTTCACACATTCTAAAGATTTTGTTCATATAGAAAGAGATTTTCTTCCATTATCTGCCTTATTTTCAAAAGCGCTTTAATCCTTTTACTCCTGCAGTGGTAAGGCTCTTCTGCTGTGGTGTGGCTGTAGCCTTCTAGTGACGACATATGAAACGCACGAGATGGARATGGATTTTACCCACTGAATTAACTATCTCGGACCATTTGGAAGTCTGTGTATCTTCCAGCTTTTCCGCTCTCCCAGCTACACAGACATAGCTGATGTCTTGCCCCAAGAGAACCTCTTCCTTCTCTTTGGTTCATGTTTGTGTTCTCCTTGTGTTCTAGTTTCAGGTGATGTGAACTCCTTTCTGCCATTGCATGCATGTAAGAGCAATATAAGACCTGTAAAAGCTGCTAAAGCAACCAGGTCTCACCTAGCTGAATGCAACCTTGCTTCCACACCAGCTAACCTGTCTGCTTCCAAAGCCCTTGCTCCACAGGTTCAATCACAATGTTCTCCCAGTTCAGATCTCCTTTTTGTCCTCGTTTCCAAGGCATTTCCCTGGTCTGGGTCTAGTTACCTTRGGGATTAATTGATCCATCATGATTTTGACCTCCTGCACCACCTACTCCCCATGAAATGATGGGGCTGTCATGCCTCAAGCAGGAACGCGGTGTGTGACAGACAGCTTTCTTTGTGGCTTGGCTGGGATCACAGGCTTCGCTCCTAAAAGATACTAGAATGGCAAGGATCTCGGCACAATATAGGGCCCATTTTTTTTTAATCTGCTGTCTTAATCACGGCCCTATTAGTACAAGTTTTATTATTCATTAGGATTTGATTTTATTCATGGCGACAGAGAGGAAGCTATTTGTTCCTTTTTGTTGTCTTTTGACACGTAAAGCAATTGCAGTTTGCTGTATGTAGAAGAATATAACTCTCGCGATGTAATTGCAAGCAAAGCAAAAAGAAAAGCAATAGATTTTCGAAATAACATTTGTCTCCCTTTTGCTGCTGTTACGTACACTACAAGCCTAGGTGCAGCACATCCATCTTCCTTTTTTTAACATGCAGGCAGCAGATGGGGCAAATGGCTTTTTTTGAAGGTTATGGTGTGTGCAGCACTGAGGCTCGCCGTGGTTATTGTGTGTAAAGCCGGTGGGGGCTTTATCTTTGCTCAGAAATGGAGGTTTGCCTCCCATTTCCATTTTGATTAGCAATAATGATACAAAGGCAAATTTGCTGCGCGAGGAAGAGCTGCTAATAAAGTGACCTTTCGAAATTAAGTAGCTCATTGAAGTGCAATGCCACAATAAGGGTATACAAGGCTGGTCCCAGCTGCGGCAAACGGGGAAACTGGACGGGAATCCGGAGAAACACGGACTGGGAAGGCTTATGTGGGAAATTGCTCCTGCTTGCATAGTAATTGCAACAAATACCAAGAGCCCTCTGCAGTTTCCAGCTCTGGAGGGGGCAATCCGCTCTGAGTGCAYGTGAAGGAAAGATGCCAAAAGCCCCTTGGGCCAGTGGGAAAGGCAGGGGCAGAGAGTATTTACAGCAAGGTCCCTGGCGTGGGCTTGACGCAGTTAAGAGACGCTGTTAGGTTTTTCTGCCAGTGCTGTGATGTTATTTGTGCTTGGATGCAGCTGGAAATGTGTGTGCACRGCTTGCTCATGGCAGACGTAGGGTGGATTTGGGGCAGTTTTGCAGGTTGCTCTTCCGTGCAGGTGAAGCACAATTAACACCAAGCTGGTTTTAATTCAAAGCCCTGGTTTCTGTGTAGGAATTATTTGCCGCTCAAGTCCAGCTACACAGCCTTTGGCAAGAGACATGAATCAATTTGTCCAGCTTTTCTTTTCTGTTTTGTCCCTGTGTGAAGGCTGATGCCCAGTGTGTGCCAAGGGGGCCTTTCAGACCCAATAATGCATCCTTGTGTCTCGTAGCATGCGTGGAATTTGCATAGGCTGTGCTGGGACAGGCAGGTTTCTTTGTTGCTGGAAACAAGGAGCAAGTTATTTTCCCTGTCCCTGCTTCCTAATGCCTCTCCAAAAGCTCTCAGCACTCATGTAAGAAATTTACTTTTTTTCTATTTATTTTTTGCATTAAATGTTGTTAAACTTTGTGTAACTGTAACAACGGGTGTGCCGAAAAGTCATGTCAGTCAGTTCTAGTCGACAAAATTGTGTAATTTTTTTTCCTCTGAACCTGGATATCTAACTGTCGGAGGGAGCAGATAATCTGTGATGCTTGATGTAACTGCTGCAAAGTATTTGCATATCTTCTCTGTGGGGAAACAAAACTGCTAGTGAGTGAATAACAGTGCACGGATCATTGCAGGCAGGGTCACTGGGCCTATACACTCGCTATTAACCCTTCTCAGGATCTGTAATGCCATAGAATGAGTTGTCATGGGTTTCAGGCAAAGGGCTTGCTCCGCATTATGGGCAGGGTTGACACTTGTTTGTGCATTTTTAGGCCCGTGCAAGGAAATGAGAATATGATCAGATCCGTTKGTAGTTGCTTTTTGGCAGCTGATATTGAGTTCGTGCATTTTGGTCTTGATTTATTGCAGATAACAAACTGCTGAAAACCTTGCTGGGAGGTACTGGGGAAATACGGCCCCCACTCGGAGTGAGCAGCGTGTTCCCCAGGCAGCTCTGGGCGACGCAGCTGGGAACCTTTAGGGCTTTCAGATGGCCTGGCAGCTTGCCTTGGATCTGCCTTGCAGACCTCCCTCCCCTGCATCCCCTTGGAGGGGTCTCTGACATCCTTGGAGAGCGATGGCAAGGAGAGAGGTTTCTGTCCCGATTCTCACAATGCAGATGTTGCCGAGAGCTGTGTTTCCTGTGATTTCAGCAAGTATCTTTCACCCCGTGCAGCCTGAGCCCCAGCTTTTCTTCTCCTTTTGTGATCATGCACCCTGGAAATCACACCAAGATGGTCTTTCAGATTGGAGAAATCGAGCAACAGCAGCTCAAATAGCTGCTGAAGCTCATGGTGAAAGCACGTGGGTGGTGTGGGCTCCAGCTTGCTGCCGTGGGTTTTCATGTCCTCTTTGTCAGCTGCTCACAGCTTATATCAGAAAAGTAAGTTGCTTGGATTTCCAAACTATCTCTTTATCTCTAGCTCTATATCTGACCCTGCCCTGCTGCCAGAATCAGGGGTGCAAGGTGCAGTGGCAGGGATGCTCATTTTGTGAAAGCCGTGCTGGGCAGTGAGTGCTGCTGTCCTGCCCCGCTGGGAACACAGTAATGTAGCTGCCTCCTCTGCAGGAATGAGAGGAAGGGCAGGGTGCTCTGGTCTCCCGTGGGAAGAAAACTCTTCTTGGAGAAAACTGGGATGGTGGCTGGCAGGGCATGAGCTTCCCTGGAGTGATCAGTGGTGTCGGAGCGGAGTGTTTCTATTACCTGTGTGTTTAGTACCTGCTGGTGGAAAAGGGTGTTCAGCGGGGGCTCACAAGGGAGGAGATGCTCCAGCAGCGGAAAGAAAAGGTTTATGCAAGAGCCAAAGTGTGATTAAAGAAAGYACCTGGTGTCCACAGGCTGGGTGGTCAGGCAGACTTCAACCAGAACCCAGGCGGAGCCGGCTGGCGGAGCTGGAGCAGCGCACTGGGGCAGAGTCTGGCATCTGGGCAAGAGCTTGTGACCAGAGAGCAGGGATTGTAATTCTCACATCTAAGTAAAGGGGGAAGAGAAGAGGCAGGCTGGGGAAATGGAGGGCTTCACTTCAGAAGTGTGCAAATCTGAGGCAGCAGGARGAAGACAGTAATTAAAGACCTGTACATAGTTGGGTAAGATTAACTGTGAGCATTTAGGAGTGCTGATTAACCTGAGATCTCTAATAACCACCTATTTTGCTTTTAGATATGGGGAATAGAGCTTACCCAAACTCTAGTAAAGGTGGGACATGTTAAGGGTAACTGCTAGTACAGCAGTGTCTCAAATGCATCTCATTTCCCATTCCACAGGAGATGCTGTCAAACTGGAGAGAGTAGAGTCAGCAGAGAACTGGAGGGAGGAAAAAGGACAGCCGGAACAAGGGGCAGTAACTGGATGAGCTGAAACGGATCTGTTAGGAAGAGAGTTATTAAGGGATTCCTTGGGGACTGATCCTGAGCACATACTGGCAAGTTCATACTCACTTCAGACTTGGAGCATGTGGCTGGGCAGTCATTTTAGCTGGCGGAGAGCACTAACTGAGGARCTGGAAGCTGGTCACCTGGAGCATCCGACCATATTCCTTGCAGGAGTGAGGGTCAGTGGTGTTTGTTTGTGACAGTAGAAATGAAGTCCTGTGGTGTGAGGGCTTTGAATTTGTTGCTAGGAAGGTAGTGATGATGACTACAGGAGCTGATTAGTATAAGATGAACATTAGTATAAGATGGACTTGAATTTAAATTAGGGTTTAGACTTTGAGGCCCCTCGGAGAATGTTTCTGAGGAGGAAAGGGGACAGGGCCAAATTTAAGACAGAGTGATGACTTAATGTAAAATATTAGCTGTCATAGAAGTGTGACCTGTGAGAAAGTGGATGCAGTGAATTTCTTGGGTGCTGTCGTGTTGGTATGGAGTGCTGGTTTGGGGCTGTGTTACATAAACAGGCCCAAATCCCTTTCYCCAAAAGGGAATTAAACTGTGCAGTGCTGAAAACTCGCTGAAGATGCTGCTATTGGTGTAGACTCATGGTCCTTATGTTGGCAGATGTCTCCTTCGGGGCAGACCAGCTGGCTGCAAAAGCAAAGTAATGAGGAGATATTTTATTTTTTTCCTCCTTCCTTTTTTTTTTCTCCAGTGATGCCATCTGCAATTTTGTCATTTGCAATGACTCCTCCCTCCGCAGCCAGCCCATCATCTTCAACCCCGACTTCTTTGTGGAGAAGTTGCGCCACGAGAAACCCGAGGTGTTCACAGAGCTCGTGGTCAGCAACATCACCAGGCTCATCGACCTGCCTGGGGCAGAGCTGGCGCAGCTGATGGGAGAGGAGGACCCCAAGCTGCCGGGGGGGAACGGATTAGCCTCTGGCTTTCTGCGCTCCCTGATGTCCCTGAAGCGCAAAGGTGAGAATGGCATCGTGCCTGGCGCCTGCCTTTGGTGTGGTGCTGGCTGGCATCGTTCAAACATGTGCTTTGGAAAGCTTGCCGTGCAGGCCTGTTATTTCAAGCCTGTGTTAAGTGCTTAATACTGTAGGTTTGTGATCTCTGGGGATGCCAGCTTTAGAAAGCAGCAAAACAGGGGCTGGGAAGTGCAGCCAGGAAATGCCTTGCAGCTTCTGGAATGTCCTCCTGGGTGCTTGTTCGTGTTGGCCACAGTCAGGTGGATGCTCGGTGCAGCCTGCAGCTTCGGCCCTGCTGGTTTCTGGTCTGGATTTGTGGATGGCATGAGCTGCAGAGATGTCCCAGATCAAACCCTAATCAATGTTTTTATGGCCTCTAAGTTCAAAACTTATGCTAAGATCAAACTTATGCCTCCATATAAGGATAATCTGAGCTCCRCTGCTCAGAGTAAAGACTCTGGTATTGACACATGCCCTCCAGTCCCGGCTTCCCTGGTGGGATCCCTGATAGACATCTCACCCTGGCAGCGCTRCAGGAGTAATCAAGGACTTCAGCATCCTCAGGGGAGAATCACTCGGAATCATGGTGATTCTCATTGTTGCTCAATAATAACAGATCTTTATGCTTTTCTCCCAAATGGCAGCTACGCTGTGTTTGGGCCTGTGTTATACTTAACCTCYGTTCCAGAAAAGCAACAGGGGCACCTGAAATTCAAATGCATGTCATTGGGCAAAGAGGAGTGATGGAGAAACTCATGCATCTTGTTAGTGTTCACAGAAACTTCCCTATTCTTCCCCAAATCCTTGTAGAAGGGGCTTGTCAGCTTTCTCCTTTCTCCCCTGGCTCCCCCTTTTTCTTTAATAGCTGTGTTCTGCTGGCACACTGTTCTTACCAGCTTTCAGAACTGCTGTCTCCTGCTAGCTCCTCTTCCACCAGCAGCTCTTCCTCAGCCAGCACAGCCCGCGTGTGTTTCCGTGGCCATGTGTCTGCACTACAGCTACAGCAAGCAGATGTTTCYAAGTCAGCTGGCTGCACTCCCAGGCTGCATTGGCAGCGTCTCCTGCATTGACAGGCACTGTCTGTGAACTCTAGACTCTGAGAACAAGTTTGTGCCTACAGAGAAAATCAATTTCATGTACTATGTTTCATCTTAGAGCTGTCCTTTGTTTCTCTTGATGTTATAGACCAGCTAGAACAAACAGGTTTTATTTCTTCAAAGCCAGAGGCCATGGACCGTAGAGCTTGGAGCTGATCAAACTGCAAATACTTATGACTTCTTTGAGCATCAGGAAACTCAATCTCATGCTGCTGCTTAGTTTCTGAAGCAATTCCACAATAACATCTAAGCCTTTATAACTCAGCATCCATTCTCCAGACACTTCTTTCAAGTTTCTTTGAGAATCAAATTCTCATTCAGATATCAACTCCTGACTTTAAAAGTAAATCGAATCCATCAGACCCTGCACGTCTCCAGAAAATGTGTTTTCCTCTCCCTGGCCACTATGGATTCTATCTGATGAATGTATAATGAATTTAGTTTCCTTCAAGGACAAGAATCTCTTCTAATGATTCTTTTACTTCATGCTCAAGTCTTTTAGATCTTACACAAGGATCAAGAGGTCGCATTTTCCTCCTTTCTTCTGCAAGACTGAAGACTTTTTGCATGTGCTTTATCAGAGAGGAGTCAGAAAGTTCTTAATTTAACAGGAGGTTGGAGTTCTTAGTGGCTTATCATGTATTTCAGAAGTTCTGGAAGGAAGTGGGAATGTTCTTCAGGYAGAATAAATTTAGTTGTGCGTAAGGGCTGCTTGGGAAGTGCATGGGGCTGACCTGGTCTTTCCCACCTGCCATGAACATGCACACCTCAAAAYGGTAAGATCTGTAGGACAACAGAGGAAACACTTGTAAAATCACCATGTGCTATGATGGGGGAAGCAAGACAAAACTTGTTGGGGGGGGATAACTTTTATTAGCCAGCCCATGCACTGCTTGGATCACTAGGAATCAGCTGCAAGGGTAYGGGGAGAACTTTCAGCCCCCCAAAGCTGGTGTGGGTGCCCAGCTTGTCTTCAGAAGTGGCCTGTGCTCTTGCGAGTTTCGTGATGCGGAGGGGAGACTTATTTTTGAACCTGATGGCTCTTTGAAGCCTGCACTCAAGGACGGGACACACCAGCCATGTGCCTGGTTCTGGGTCAGTTCCAGTCACCATGCAGTATATGGTCCATCCAGCACAGTGGTGTCCCTGGCTCTGGCTGCTGCAGTCATGGTTGTTGCTTCAGCCTTTTGAGGCACAGAGCATGCTAGCTGTGTGTATCTGATGAAAAATCATTCGCTTGCAAGACTTCATTTATTAGAAAATAGTTGCCTGCTTGGTACCTACTGTCTTACCTGGGAAGTCCATCTCTAGACAGGAACAGTTTTCTCCAGTGTTTCAATAAGTGCTTTTCAGATGAAAAGCCAATTTAAACTAATGTTTCTTTCCACACAAGGGTCTCCTTCCTTTCAGCTCAGTTGCTTCCCTCCTCCTTTAGGGTTAGTCCCTATATTACTGACTGGAGCTGACAACTCATGCCTGGTTTTTGTTAGCAGCCCCACGAGATGAAAGCAAACCCTAGGAGTGAGAGTAGCTGTCTCTGTTCCTTGCAGAGAAGGGCTCAGCTCGCTGCTTCCCTCCTCTCCCTTCTAGTTCTTCCTTGTTCAGCCTTCTCATACTTCATGCTGTACTGTGCTCAAGCCAGGGCAGCTGATGTGGGAGAAAGATTCACTGCTGTTTATTCCTGCCTGGAAAGGAGACTGGCATGAGCCACTCGGACTACCTCTGCTCTTCTCAAGGGTGCTGCTTATTCCCTTCTCCCACACGTTGCAGGTACAGCTCTTCCTTCTGCCTCCCTGCATGTCAGGCCACAGCGAGGACTAATCCAGGCCTTGCCTCCCAGTTGGGCACGTGGCTATGGGGCACACCTGGCAAGTCCAGGCTCCACATCTGCTTTTCACACTTTGTGTGAAAAAGGAAAAAGGAAACATTTGTTTTGGTGTTTTAAGGAACTAAAGAGTATTTGCTTTAGCTGGTTAAAACCTATAATTAAGCTGAGATATGAAGCAAGATGATGAAGCCCTTGGAAATACAGCATTGAGAGATGAAGTGAGTTATTAGGGAGTGCTTGTGAGATAATGTCTACTAGGAGATCTTTGGGACTTTCATCATTAGTATTTTTGAGTGCTGGTCTCTGCATGTTGAGATCCTGCCCTTTGGGGAGCACTGTTCTGGGGGTGTTGGGCCCTGAGCTGCTTTGAACACGTTATCTCTGTCTTGCAGAGAAAGGGGTGGTGTTTGGCTCACCGCTGACAGAAGAAGGCATCGCGCAGGTTTCCCAGCTGATTGAGTATCTGCACAAACGTAAGTGACTGGCTGGCTGCCCTTCTCCCTGCTTTGGCCACCACAGGCCCCTGGTGAGGCTGAGCTGAGCTCTGAGGCTCCAGCAATAGGAGCTTGGGGCAGGGCTGGGTGACTGTACCTCAGCCCAGCAGATGAGTTAACCTCTTTCCCCCTGTTTCTGTGAACTCTTTCTGTTGATGTGACCTAGCCCGAAGTCCTGGCTCTGTTGCTCACTGGGATTTGCTGTTGAGCTCTAGAACTGCTTTAGTAAGAGGAAGGGAATCAACCTCTGAATAACCAGGGGCTTTTTTCTTCCCCTCTATGGAGCAGATCTGCGAGCTGAAGGCTTGTTTCGAGTGCCAGGCAACAGCATCAGGCAACAGATCCTAAAGGATGCTCTGAACAGTGGTACAGATATTGACCTGGACTCTGGGGAGTTTCATTCCAATGATGTGGCCACCCTGCTGAAGATGTTCTTGGGCGAATTACCAGAGCCCCTGCTGACACACAAGCATTTCCACGCCCACCTCAAAATTGCAGGTGAGTGAGCAACAGGAGATGGTGATGGGCAGGGGAAGGAAGCCAATCCAGCCTGCAAGAGAGCTGGTAGTGCTGCTGAGCTGCACAATAGGCTGGGGAAGTGCAATCCCTCAAAGCAGGGTAAGAGCAGCCTTATGGTGGAAAGACTGAAACTGAAAATCCTAAGAAATCAGACTGGGGTCTCTAGCCCAATCTTTTCTCTCCAACAGCAGACATAAACATAGGCCTAGGGAAGTACTGGAGTAGAGCGTTGGGTAAACTGGATCTTCAGCTGTGCTAAGTCTGGAGGTTTTTATGAGCCACACTTGGTTTCAGCGTATTTAGTAACTCTTATTAGACTATCTTGTGTGGATATGCTCTGTCTGCAACCCAAAAAAAAATTCTTAGCCACCATGTTATCCTGGTATCCAGGAGTACCACAGATTAAAATAGCATTTGAGGGGCCTGGGAGCCAGAGGGAGGGACTGGAGGGCTGAGACCCAAGCAGAAGTTTGGAGGAGAAGTGGCTCGGTGAAGGGTAACCAGCTGTAATGGGCTTGCTGTTAGGGAGAGTAATGTGCGCCCTTCACGTTCTGCCTTGTGCTTTGGCAGACTTGACCCTGTTTGATGAGAAGGGCAATAAGACCAGCACCCCGGACAAAGAGCGCCAAATCGAAGCCCTCCAGCTGCTCTTCCTGATCCTGCCCGCGCCCAACCGCAGCCTGCTCAAACTGCTCCTGGATTTGCTCTATCAGACGGCCAAGAAGCAGGACAAGAACAAGATGTCTGCACATAATCTTGCCCTCATGTTTGCACCGCACATCCTCTGGCCCAGGAATGTGAGCACTGTCTCAGTATCTGCTGGTGGGATGTTACAGGGTGGAAAGCAGAGGCTTGGCAGGCTTAGAGAGGAGCCCTGAGGTAGGAAGGATGGGTGTTGCAACCCAGTGGGCTGTGGAGTGCAGTGGTAAGGTTGAGCTCACTGGCAGAAATCCAGCAGAGATGAGACCTGCTGTCGGTCTATTTGCCATTGATGGTTCATCTTTTCCAGTAAGATTTAAAGCACATCAGTCCTGGTTATTTTGAGAATGACTACTGTGAGCAAAACCTGCCGACCCTTCTCTGTAGGGTTTCTTGGGCTGTTGGTGAACTTTTGCTCTAGAGTTGTCCGAGTGTCCAATGTGTTAGGCCAGCTCTTCCCAAAGAGCTTTGTTTGTGGGAGTGCAGTTTCTTGGCATACTGTGAGCCCTGCCTGCTCATCTGCTCAGAACTGGACTCCTGAGTGTGCCCATGCCCCAGAAATGTGGCAGAGACACCCTTCCTCCACTTCTAACAGCTTCTGCTTGGGCTGTGTCTCTTTGCCAGGTGACAGCAAATGACCTGCAGGAGAATATCACAAAGCTAAACAACGGAGTGACCTTCATGATCAAACACTCGCAGAAACTCTTCAAAGTAAGTGTGCTTTGAGGTCCTGCTCTTCTTCTGTAGGAGACCCTTGTCCATGCAGCTCTTGGATGTCAGGATATAGGCTGGGCACTATATTCTGTGGTGGGATTTATTCAAGAAACTGTTCAAAGAATTTATGTAAGAAACTGCAGACTAGAAAGGAAGCCTTGGCTGGGCAAGCAGCCCAGGGGAAGGAGGACACGGCCATGGAGGTGGCTTTTCTGCCTTGGTGAGGTCAGAGCCATGGTGCAGTGTAATACTACCCTCTACTGGACACCCAGCACCTGCTTTCCACGTGGGAAACAGGTTCCCTTGGGGCAATTAGTGGTGGCACTGTTGTTGGGAAACTTTGGGGATCTGGTGGGATAAGGAAACTGAAGGAATTCCTCTTGGATGAGGGTTGCAGGCATTAGAATCCCTCACGCAGGAACACTGTTGTGAACACATCTGCACAGGCAGAGTTTGCAGTTCTGAGCTCCCTGTGCAGCTCAGCACAATGTGTTGTGTTGCAGAGTTAGGAGCATGGGGCTTCTGCGGGTCTCTCCAGGGAGGGGTTTCCAGAACACGCAGTCTTTTGGCTTCCTTCCTGCTCTGTGGGCTACTGCTGTCTGCACAGGGTCTTCCCATGGAAAGGGAAGAGGTCCCTTCTTTGTCAGCCCCCTGCTTCCTCAGCTCAGAGTCAGAGAATTGCTCAGGAAAAGTTTATATGGAATCTGTTGTACTTGTATGTTCCCCTTGTGTTGATAACATGCATTAGAAGGAAACCGTGAGCAGAGATTGCACCAGGGACATGGAGCAGCATTACTTGGTCTGCCCCAAACACCTGAGTCTATGAAATGGCTTGTGTGGTGCATCTGAGGAGCAGCTCTTGGAGAAGCTGCATCTTCCCCCAAAGTCCACCTTGCTAAACACATGCATGGCCCTTCGGCTGGTGCCAAGGTTTTGTGTCTCCTCTGCCCAGGCCCCTGCCTACATCCGGGAGTGTGCCAGGCTGCACTACCTTGGATCCAGAGCCCACGCATCCAAGGTAAGGGCAACCTGTGCAGTGCCTGCCCCCCAGGGAAGGGCAGGGGCTGGGCTGCTGCTGCAACAGGATCTCTGGGAACAAAAGGGGCTGAAAACCCAAGCCATAAGGGAGGGTCTGTTGGAGAGCAGGAGGGAGGGAACCATATGGTATGGTGGTGTGGGTGGCTGCATTAGGGAAATTGGGCAGAGTTGAAGCATCTGTTAATCAGAAGCACTGGGCAGGCCACCAGCCCCTCTTCAGCAGCAAACCTGTTCCCTCTGCCCAGTGCACCCAGCAGCTGGTACTCTGAAGGGCTCTGCCTTCCAGACAGACAGATATCCACTGCCATGGCTGGGCTGCTTACAAAGCAGGACTGCAGTAAAGGCTACTTGCCGCTGCTGGAATAAGATTTATCTGTGTCTTTCCAGCAAATGCTTCCCTGCTCCACATAGCTGCAGAAGAGCATTGGAAGGAGCTTCAGTAGCCCTTCTCGAGCCTGTTAGAGCTCCTGCAGCTGCCATCCAGGAGGGAGGGAAGAAGGAATAGGGTCACCTTTGTGTTGCTGTCACCTCTGCCTGGCACAGGGCCTGCTGGTGCAGTGCTGCTGCAGAGGGGTAGGGAGAACACAGCCCTGTGCATTTGCTGGGGTGAAGCAGCTCACAAGACGGCTCCGTGCCGCTCAGATGGGCGGCTCGTTTGGATTAAAGCATGGCAAGGAACTGCTCTCCCCGCTCTCCCAGGATGACCTGGACCTGCTGACCTCTCCCAGCTCCAAGGAGCTGCAGCCTCTCAAGTCTCAGAAGCGGAGCCGACTGGACACTTGCCATCAGGAGGAGACCCAGCAGCGCACGGAGGAGGCCCTGAAGGAGCTCTTCCGCCACGTCCACAACATGCCCGATTCTGCAAAGAAGAAGAAGCTAATTCGGCAGGTAGTGTGGGGAAGAAAAACGTCTTTGGGGTGTGCTTGCTAGGCGTGGGACTAAAGGGAGGGCCTACCACAGAGCTGCTTCCAGGCCTGGCAGGGTGAGCTCTGAGCCCTGCAAGAGGCAGAGCCATGTGAAGGAAGGGGAGGAGGAAGTCTGTGCTGGATGTGTCTGATAGAGCTCAGAACAGCAAAAACATCTGTTTCCTAAACCCTACGGACTTGTCAGTTGGAATTCCCTCAATCCTGATCATGGCTCTATTGAATTTGCTACCTCAGGTAGAGGAAAATCCTGTCTCCCTTTGCCTGCATGGTGTGGGGGCAAATTGCTCTACCTGATCCAAGGAGCCTGGGCAGTGCCTAACCTGCCAGACACCCCCAGGCCCTGCTCAGCCCCCTTTCTACTTGGTGGCTGCTGGTCTTAGCTGACCTGGTGGCCAGCACAAAGCAGCATTGTGTCCAAGCTCTGTGTGAACCTGGGCAGGAGCAGCGGCCTTCCCCTGCAGCCCTCTGAACTGCAGAGCTGCAGTTCATCTCCCTGTAGCTCTGAGCTGCCCCTCTGCTTTGGCGTGTGGGAAAGCCAAAGCAGAGCATGGCCTGGGGGCAGGCAGCACACAGAGCTGCATGCAGCAGCAGGAGGCTGGTGAGACAGTACCTGTGTAACATCCTGATGTTGTGTTTCCTCCTAGTTTAATAAGCATCCTACAGTGCTCACTCCTGGCTCTGATGTCCGCACACCCCCTGTGCAAAGACGTACTCGCTCCCGCTCCTTCAGTGGCCTCATTAAGGTAAAGGCAGCCTCTGACCAGGCTCTCTGCTGCAAGTCTCTGATGTTGCCCTGTGCTTCTGTCTTGTCCTGGCTTTGATAAGGTGCTTGACAGCGGGGGCTACTCAAAGTACTGTCTGCTAAGGAACACAGATCCCCTGGGGATGAGAAAAGCAGCCCAGCAAGAATAAGCCTTGTTAATATGAAATGTAATTATGTATGAGACACTGGGCTGTAGGGTTTGTGTGCCTTTGTGAAGATGATGTTGCTTCCCAAGGTGAGATGAAGACTGACAGGGAGCAGTCAGTCTAGGTGACTGGTAGCGCAGGTGTTAGCATGCTGGAGGCTGCTCTACACCGCAGGTAGCTGCTTCTGGCAGTCTGGGCTCCTGGCCAGGCCTGGTGCCACCTCCTGACCCCTTTAGGAGTAGGCAAGCTCAGCCTGGCAGAATGGTATTTCACATAGTTCTGTTTTTCAGTGTCTGTCCCAGCCTGACTTTCTGTTTTCTTTCCCAACACCCATCCATTTGCCAGGCATCTTGCTCCTTCCCTTTCTTTTCTTTTCGCCTCTGCATTGGGAGCATTAGCCAACAGCCTTTCTCTTCTTATGGCAGCGGAAGGTCTTGGGAACACCGGTTATCATGGAAAGGAAGAGCCGGGATGTCACACCCGAGCCAGAGCGAGCTAGCAAAGAAAACATCCACCTGGTAAGAGTGCAGATTTGGGTGGGAACTGCTCTGGCAGAGCAACCTGCTTCAAGGGAAGGCTGTGGATGTCACTTCATTCGTCAGCTCTCTGATCCTGTTTCTCTCTCTTCCAGTTACAGAAATGTGGCTCTCCAGCTCATATGTCCCCAGGGAAAATGAAATTTTTAGAGGGCCAGAAAGAGGTGAGATGCTCACACGTACACAGTCCTTCCTGAGAGGAGCCTGCCCCCTTGGGCTCTCACCTTGCAAGCCCACAGAGACAGTTTCACTGCAAACAAGGCTCTGTGGCAGCTGGGGTCCCCTGGCTGCAGCAGTTTGCTCCCTGCTGAGCTGGAAGCCCTAGGTGCTCTGGAAGCCAAGCCTGGCAGGGGATCCTGTCCCCCGTTGGAAGCAGGGCAGCCAGCTCCATGGGGCTAGTGCTAACTGCCTGTCAGGGTGGCCATGAGAGTAGAGCTTAGTACAGTCTAAGGTGCATTAATTGCTCTTGCCTGGTCACTGTCTTGTGCTCTGTTCCATAAAAGTTATGGAAATGCTGCGGTGGGAACCCTTGTAGGGGGAGGACATGATATCCCTGCTTTGTGTGGCATTCAGGGTCTCAAGCATTCCATTTCTCTACTCCTCTGCTCCAGGACTCCAGCAGACGTGTGCGAGCCCGCCTGCTTTCCAAGGAATCATCGTCCCTGTGAAGCGCCTCTCGCTAGTGCATGGATTGGGGAATGCCCAGCCTCACAAGCTGTGAATAATACCCGCTGCCCCGAGGCGGGAGCACTGCAGGCTCACGGCAGCCTCCAGCCTGCTGGTGCTCTTGGACATTTGCAAGGACTGCAGGGACTTGTTTCTGTCTGTATATAAATGTATATCGTTCCACTATGGGGCAAACCACTATCTAACCAAAACCTGTGCAGCGTGTCTGACCTGCTGGCTCTGGGAAGAGCTGGAGAGCTGGCTTACAAGGAGAGCCCTGTGCACTACAGGGCTCTGTTTGTACTCCCAGCTCTCTCTGCAGTGTGCTAGGCTGTATTTTAGCTTTTGTCTCTGAACTATTAACCAGTTGACTTGTTTCTGCTTCCTCTTTGTGAGAGTGATGGACTGCAACCTCCCTGGGCATCCTGGCAGCTCACCTCATCTCCAGGCCTCCTTTGGAGCTATGTTCCCTCTGCTTTCAGGGGCCACCTCTCCACTCTTATGGGGTCTTCTTTGCCTCCCATCACCGAAGCACACAAATAGGACACAGTATGGGGTGGATGTGGGAGAAGGGGGCTGAGGGTGTCATGCCAAGTGGGGGTCTGAGGAGAGCAGCTTCCCCAGGAAACTTCTCACTGTCTCAGCCTGAGAGCAGGCTCAGYCCCTGCTCACTGTCTCCCTGTGCTGCCCTCATACAGCACTGCCCTGGCACTGCAAGGGGAGCAAGGACTGCGTCTGAGCAGGGATTGTTTTTTGGGGCAGGAGGCTGGCAAGGACTGTCCCAGGGCAGCTCAGCCTTCGGAAGCTGGCATGTCTGGGGCAGTCGGAGTCTGTGCACAGCATAAAAACAGTTTGAGCATCATCAGAGGTAAAGAAGGGCTCCAGCCATTTGTGATTGCTGGAAGTGGTGCCAGAGGCTTTAATGCCAGGTATCTGGATGGCCTGTCTGGCAAGTGGCTGGTTATTTACTAAACTGGGGGAAAGCTGAATTCAGTTCTTTGCTCTGAGCTGCAGAAAGGGGATGAAACCATCTAGATATAAAATAACCCCCATTGCAGATGGCCAGTGTCAGCTGCCTTGTTAAGCTGGAGTGCTCCAGTAAGCCAGTCTCACCCAGTAGCTGTCTGCAAGTGTTCCAGGACAGGGAACACATGGAGTCACCACTGTGAAATAAAGGCAAAAGCGGTTGAGGAGCCCTCTAAACACTTCTCAGCCCTTCTCAGCAAAGCAAATCTCTGAAATCCAATTATAATTGTCTTCTAATCTGTAAGAACCAGCAGCCGACAGGAGTTAGAGCTCTGTCCTTGACAGCTTTCCGAGACAACTGGTGGCGGGAGTGTGAGGCTGGGATGTGAACRGGGAGTTCAGTCCAGCTGAGCAGAGCTGTCAAAACAGGGCCTCAGAGCCCTGCGTGGCTTAGCTGGACTCCTGTTGGGTTTGAGCACTCTTCTTTTTATTTTACTTAAGAACTACAAAGCTGTATGTCTTGTGCTGCTCTGTCTGGAGGGGTGTTCCAGGTATTTCATATGAGGCACCTTTTCTCGTGCTGATCCCCAAATGGAAGGGCTGCCTCACCTATATAGGGGGTACCGGGGCTATAAATGTGGGTGTTGGTGTCGGGAGCCTCTGTCACAGCAGAGGGAGAGCTCWGGTTCTGCAGGGACCGGGCAGGTGAGGATGCTGTGGGGAAGGACAGAGGCTGTTGCTGTGTTAGCAGTATGTGCTTTTTGGATGTGTCTAAATACTCCCTGTGGAAGGTGAAACTATCTGTGTGCTCCTCTCCAAAGGTGGCCCTCCTGCCCCTGCAGCCTCYGCGAGGCAGGGCCCTGTTAGCAGCAGCTCCAACCTTGGCTCTGCCTCTGAGCAGAGAGGAGGGCAGAGCTGAAGGTCTAAAGCCAAGTGCCAGTGCACGGAGAACGCAGCCTGATCCTGCTGCCTCTGCTTCTGCCTGTGTTGCTGAGTGAAGTGTTTGTCTGTCCAGCCCACCTTCTCCCTCTCTGCAATATATTCATAGCTCTATGGATGTTGGCTTGGAAAGGCTCTCTCATCACTAAGGCTAAATGTGCTGTCCCTTTACAGGTGGGAGAAAAGTATCTTTTCCTTCTAGTGGTCAAGCAACTGTGTTCCCTTGGGCATGGATCCAGCTCAAGAGCTGTGTCTGGTTTCTGGCGGAGCTGGGATTTGCTCAGTGCTAAAGAAGTCCCCTCTGGGGCACCAGCCTGGCGTTCTGCTCATCTCGGGTGTCCTCCCTGCCAAAGGCGGGGAGGGGACAGCCTGCAGACAGGGCAGACCAAGGAGGGGACTTTGGGACTGTCAGTGCCCTGGGCTTTAACGCAAGGTGCTCKGCTCCTGGTGCCAAGGATGAGGGGGAGCAGCAGGGACCTGATCCCTAGGAGCCCTGGCTGTCACAGCCCGCTGTGTTCATGCTGTCTTGTAGGGCTGTGTAGTGCCCAGATGTCCCTTGTTCTGCCCAGTGTGATGTCTCACAGGGATGCTTCCTCCCACAGCAGCAACTAACAGTTTCCAGAGTAGATTTCTGCAATATTTTAATCTTTGTCCTTATTTATATATTCTATGTATGTACTGTTTCAGACTGCTGCCTTTCCATATGTTCATGTGAAATCCCCGTATTAAATGCTTTTATTTTTAGTGGTTTTGCTCAGTGGCTTAAGCAGTTTTCCTGGGACACTGCATCTGCTTYGAGGAAGGAGGAGGCATCTGCTCGGGAGCCATCGGCGTGCAGAGGTGCCTGGTGAGAGCTGTGTGCGGGGACAGCACCGGCCGCCCGCGGTGGCACCCGCGCTTGTCCCTTTGCAGGGACCTCCTGCGGACGGGCTTCCCCACGCACTGCAGGTATAAAGTCAAACCTCTTTCCTTTGCTCTTCCACCCGCTGTCATCCAGGGTGAAGGGAAATCTGCGTTTACAAAGAGCACTTTATATAAATAATGGATCAAACGAATACATTTTTTCCCTTTAGAACCATTCTTTCCTTGCTAATCTTGGCTGCCGAGGGAGGACGGCTTCTGCTTGCGTTTTCCTTTCCTTCTTCCTAATAATGGCGCCTCACATTTTATGCAGATTATTTCTCTGTGAAGTTCTTCCACATTTGAAATGCCCTGGGCTTGCCTGCCGTGGCTCAGACACTCATTAGCATCCTTGCTGTGTGAGTTAAAAACAAGCAGGAGAAGCAAGCTGCGTGCTGCGTTTGAAACCTTCCTGCGGGCTGAGCTTCAAGCAGGCCCGGCTCTGCTCCAGAGGCTGGAATTGGGTGTCATGGGACTGCCTGGARCTTGAGGGGCAGGAGGGGACGGGATCTTTGCTCACTTAAAAGCGGCCATGGGAGTCTAGAGAGATGTTTCTGTTCTTCAAATCACTGAACAAAAGGAATGTGAACATTCACTGCAGCTATTTTGAATATTGCACATCCAAGTATCGCCTCTCTTGATACTCATGATTCAAAGTGCCAGGCTTTATACTGCTTACATAATTTTTTTAAAAAATGAATATTTTTTAGCCCTTGAAGCCACAACCTGAATGCCTATGCCTGGCTGCAAGTAAAAGAGGAGCAGTTCTGAAGTTAGGGGAAGGTACGTGCTTGGAAAGGGGAGCCTTAGCCTTCATTATGCGGGTATTGTAGCACAGCAGCGGCAGTGCAAAGCAAACAAGCACTGTTCATCCTTCATTTATCATACGGTTTTATGTCAAATTGCACAGCACAGACTTGCAAATATGCTCTGCACTGTCACTGCTCTCTAAATCAATTTTTGTAAATTGTTTTGATTTTAAAATACTCTGCCCTGGCTGGGAGTTGAAACAGGGTATTTTTTTGTTTCTTAAATTACRACGTGTGGCTGGGAGCTGTCACACTCCTGCTCTATCTCACTGCCTAGGGCAGCGCTATAGACAAAAACRTGAGCGATAGATGCTGGCACCAGCCAGACCACTTATCAGGCTTTCCAATCTCATTGGCTTGCATTAACTAATATTTTTTCAGAGTGAATAAATTACCATGTTTAGCTCTGTTTGCTCACACCCCTTGCGCTGAAGTCTGTAAATTGTGCAGGCCTGGGGATGCCTGGCTGGCTGTGCTGGCTCTCGTGCTCACCCAGCCCTGGTGCTGCAGCCAGGGCCTCCTGCTCTGGAAACATCCCGTTTCCAGCCCTGTCCTTGCTGGGACAGGGCCTGTCCCTAAGGGGGGTCCCTGGTACCCRTCACTCACACTTGTGTAGCTGGCACTGCTGCTCCTTCTCCCGCGGCTGCCCCAGACCCAGTGCGGCTCCTGTCCCCTGGCTCCCTTCCAGCCTCTCCTAGCTCTGCTGGGCTGCAGCAAACGCACAACTGGGATGGGTGAGGGCTGCAAAAGCAACTTGTGACAGTGGAAGCTGCCTCCAGGCCTGTGGTTTATCTGTTATGTCCTGGTGTGGGACCAGCCGCCAGCTATCACTAAATAGGGAGCACAGATGAGCTCGTCTGCACCCAGGGCATCCTAATTAATAAGATCAGGACAGAGCCTCTGCCTCTCTCAGCTGTCAAGATGAGGTGTTTCTTATCTCTCATGTTGCCTGCTTGTCCTTGCATAGGGATGTCCCTTCATAGGGGGCCTGCAGGAAGGCAAAAGGAGGTGATGGGAACAAGCTCTGTTCTCCCAAAACGAAGCCCAGGGTCTCTGCTTGCCCTGTGGCCCAGGTCAGCCGCTGCAACCTGCTCCTACGGGCAGCAGTGCTTCACAACGGCGGAGCTGCCCTTTATGGCACCGGGAATATGTTGGATGAGCTCGGCAACAGCAAAGGGAAAGTTAGTCTATTAAACAGTAAATTATCCCTCCAGTGCATCTTCATTGAGGAGGGTTAATGAGCGGCCGCAGGCAGAAGGAGCGGGGAAGAGGCTGYGTGGTGGGGATGGGAACAGCCGCTGCGTCTGGGAAACCAGGATCCCGGCAGCACCCCGTGTGCGGATGCCCCCGAACGCCTCGAACAGCCTGCAGGGGCTCACAGGCGGCCCCCGTGGTTGGCAGTGGGAAGAGCCTCTCCGGCTGCTCGGAGCCACTGCTTTTCCTGGTAGAATAGAGGTGCATTGGGAAGCACTGGGATCCCTGCTGCGCCCACTCCCAGTGGTGCCATCCCTCCTGGGGTCAGTGGGGCACTGGTGATGCTGGGGCCAGGTGATGCTGGCGGTGTTGGGGGAGACTCTAGCAGTGTTTGTGGGGCAACGCCAGAGCTGTGGGCCTCGTCCTGGGGGAGATGCCGTGGAGCAGCAGCCCAGCGTGCCCCAGCCCTGCCTGCCGCTAGCCAGCGAGATTCAGCACGTGCCACCCACCCGTCCTGTTCCCTGAGGGACCCCTCAAGGGGCCAACCCGCCCTGCACAAAGCCCTGGCACCGAGCACATCCATTGGCACACGCAGGCCTCCCGATGAGAGCCGAGGTGCTGGTTGTGGCGGAGGTGGCCCCGGTGGCCCTGGCCGGCGGAGCGGCAGCCCCGCAGCCTCTGTCTGTGCAGCCCGCGGCCGCAGCGGGGCCGGCACGCGCCACCCTGGCACACGCTGCAGCGTGGCGCTGGCTGCAGACCTGCACAGAGCTGCTGCTCCCCAGCAGCGCACGTGCCCGTCAGGGCCGTGGTGCCGGCACAGGAACCGGGATGCAGGCCACGGCCCGTCCCAGGCTCCGTGGAAATGCCCGGATGCCGCCCTGGGGGGCTCGGCTTCAAACTGGCAGCAATTTTTGTTTGAAGCTTTGTAGCTGCTTCGCATCTCTTTGCACGACAGGTCTGGCGCGTACCCTGGAATCCTTCCCCAGTTCTTCCCATGGAAACTCCTCTCCTGCAAAAAAAAAAAGCTTCTGCTTCGTTTTAACCAAACCCAGAGCCCATCAGACGATCCAGATGGTCTCTCTCTCTATCAAGCAGTTTGGCCCAGATCCCGGTGGCAGACGGCAGGACCAGGCCTCCCTTGATAAAGAAAAGTTTGTTTTTTATTTTCCTCCGTGCTCCTCATCCATATTCAGAGRTACCCTGGGCCTTCCCCGGGCAGCTGTTGCTCTCAGCATCCTGTGCGAGMCCCGGCCCCGGGGGCTGCAGGATCCGGCGCCTCGACCCGGGCCCGTTTCCGAGCGGTGTCGCCTCCACCTCTCCTTCCCRGTGCTCCCGAATTCCTGCCTGTGCTGCGGCTGTTCCTGGTTGTGCAGGCAGCAGTTGCTCGGAGGGCACATTGCATGTACCAGCCTGGGCCTTGCCTCATCCCAGAGGTGCGTGTGGGTCACAACAGGGATCTGGGACATGRATCGTGGTCTACAAGCCCCAGGCAGGAGGCCTCCGAGCACCTTCCTGCAGGCTCCTTGCTCTGCTGAGGCCCCGGGAATAAAGCGACCCGATGTTGCTGCAGCTGGACACAAAGGCTGGGGGAGTCTGTTTATCCTGCACAGCACGAAGGATTCGCCTCGGGCAAGAGACTTTGGGAAAGTTAGGAAACACGATCGCTTGTCCTGCTCCCCCGGCAGGAGCAAAGGGCAGGGTGGGAGGTCAGGCAGGTCTGCGGGACACCGTGTCCTGCGGCAGGGGCACTGCTGGGCAGCACAGCTGCCCTCGGAGGGGGTCCCTGCTCCGTGGATCGAGGAAGGGGCGGAGGGGCAGCCCACAGGCATTGCATGGATAGCGACCAGCTCCGGTGGTGCAGATAGCTGGGAAATAGCCTCCACATCCAGAAATCCAGCTCGGTGCCACCGATGAGGCTGCTCGAGGGAGGCAGCTCAGGAGGAGCCGAGTGCTGGGGTGGGCTCTGCGCAGCCCTGGACCCCCCAGACAGGGGGTCCCTGTGGGTGCTCGGGCCCCACGGCCGGCAGCAGGGCCACCTCTGTGGAGGCCGTGCCAGCCGCGGGTCAGCTCCCGGAGTCCTGGGAAGCAGCTCATCTTCCCTGCTGTCAGCGCTGCTGTGTAGCAACAGGGAACAAACCCCTTTCAAGCATCTCRGCCGCGGCTTCCTCCCGGGATATGGGCCAGAGGAAGGAGATGTCATGAAAATGCAGACAGATGATGGGAGCCGGCACTGGGGATGGGAAAAGGCTGCTGATCCGGGCCAAGCTGATGCTGCCCTGTGTGTGTGTGAGGGGTGGCCCTTGCCGCAGTGAGATTCATGCAGACACTTTGCTCTAGCTAAAGAGCATCRGCCTGCAGAGAGCTGTGCAGGACAGCGCTGCTCTGAGAGCTGCTTCTGCCCCAAGAGCCATCACGGTCCCTGCAAGTGTCCTGCTGGCCCGGGGGAGAGGCGGAGGGGTGACTGTGGTGGGGTGTCCTTGGGGTGTCCCCTCCCCTTCACCACCACCACACTGTGCATAGGGGAATGGAGCAGGTCAGGGAGCTGAGGAAGCAGCTTGTGGCCCCGAGGCCAGCAGAGAAATGCTCTGATCTAGACAAGAAACCAGCTCCCAGTGGGAGCTTACCCGGGAGCAGGGCGTGGAAGGAGTTTCCCGGAGGGATGCGGCACTGCAGTGGGGCTGGCTTGGTCCCTGCGCTGCCTCCCCAGCGCGTGTGCCCCTCTGCAGCTGCTGGGAAAGCTGGCGGGCGCCCTCCTGCCTGGGGATCCTCGCAGCAGATCCTGTCTAGAGTCACGGCTCTGCTGGGCACCTCACAGCCTTCCTTAAAACTCAGCTCTCGGCGTCATCGGTTATGCAGGTGCTTCAGGTATAATTAATAAAATAGGTGTCCAGCCCTCCTGGTTACACCCTTCTGCTTTCCATTTGCAGACCTCAGGGAACRAAACAGACGGCACCAAAACAAACAYGAGGTTCACCCGTCTGAGGCGTCCAACAACCCGGGCCAAGCTCAGGAGGCCTCCTGGTTTCACCCGTTTTTCCATCAAAGGAGTCTTCCTCACGGCTCCTTCGGCCTCCGCAGCCGGGGGTGCAGGAGCTCTTGGGGGGCTAGGTGCCCACAGAGCCCTGGGGGCCGCGGTGGCGCGGGGGGGGC